AGTGGAATTTATAGCCACTTTTCAACTGTGAGTAAACAGCTCCTCTGAGAAGCTACTCCTAAAGGTTCCAGTCTTATACATTTGTTTTGACTTGGGACTAAGTACAACATTTCTATAAAATCCATTGTCTAACATGGAGCCTACACCAGAAACACAAGGCACAGGGAGGGATTACACCTAGACGAGATGTCAGCCCGTTCCATTAATTACACATTCACACACAAACACAGGAACAATCAATCCCATTCAGCAAATAAATAACAGTGCTACACTCCTGTCATAAGCTCGAGAAGAAGGTGTTTCAGTTTTTTTGTTTTCATACAGTACAGTATGTGGTCAGGATCAGAAAGAGAAAATAACACCAACGTAACTCCCGTGTCTTCATTTAACCTTTGAGGTGTCCTTTTCCCAGTGTTGCTGAGGAAGCATTTTTTCAAATCTTAAAAATGATTCCATCTGTTTCCAAGGTAACTGTAGAGCACACTCTTGCATTGCTTACGGTGCAGGTACTTGTACCGGGTGGAAGGCCCTATACCCACAGGGGGATTTCAGTTTCAGTATCTAAAGCAAAGCTGGAAGAGATAAGGCCTGATATTTAAAAAAAAATGTAATATTTTCTCATATCCACTAGGGGACACTATGGCCGTGAAAAAGCACATACTGTACACCACAAGATGTGATATCTGAGTATTATGCTAAATAAATAACAACAAATAAACAGTCTCTGAACAGATCATGTTGTATTTTAGAACAGCATTCTGTATAGTTAGTCCCCAGTGAGAATGTGGAAATGTATTTTAACACAAACAACTTTGGCCTGTTATGCAAATATGGAGGATTCAGAGAAAGTATTTTGATGACTGCATTATCATTTCTACAATGTTTCTGCATTTTATTTTCCAGAGCAGTTTTAATTTAATTTCATGTAAACCTAAATTAAATAATTTAATTTAACAATTTCAGCTCCTTACATATAGTCTGCCAGAGAAACACTAAGCAATTCCATTATCTTACAGAGATCCTAGCATAATTATAAAATATATCGATTTGCAATAATTTGTCATTGTTGGGCCCTCAATAAATGTTCAAAACATCAGAAGGCAGTTTTATAGTAAAACAGTAAGACAAGATTGAAAAGTATAATTCTGATTCATAGAGTATGCAGCTGACTTTTAAACTCCAATTCCTGATTCCGGTCATAACTGCTACCGTGGATGGCTGATACTACTGTATGTTCTGATACAGCTGGGGAAACGTACAAGAAATGCAAAAGGACAGCCTGGATGTAGATGATATACTGTATATTAGTTATGAAGGTGCTCAACAGCATACTCCTAGCCCTACTGGTGGGGAAAAAATAATTAATTTATAGATAAACACATACAGTACAGTATAATGATCAAGATCATGCATAAACAAACATAACATCTAAATAAATAGTAAGGATGGTAATAATGATGGAAAAATCTAATATCTGAGCAAATGAGTGCAGTTGTGGGCTTCATTTATACAGGCATTAGTGATACTGGGACAACAGAGGATTAAAAAGGTTATTAGGTCCACACACTTTAATGCCTATTTTTATTATTAATTCATACTTGCTGCCAAAAAAAAAAGATTAAATTTCTGGGCCCCGCTCTACAGTAATGCTGCTGGCTTCACGTTATTATTTTGCTCAAGCTTTTTCCACGCATATCCTGGCACGGCCTTTACGAGCAGGGCTTCAATCAGCCTGGTACACACAATAAAATATTCGGCAGGAGCTGAGCAGCTTCAAGGCTTCCGCCCCACAGATTTTAATATTACAAAGCTCCAGGAATGGCAGACTCAATATTAATTAGTGCACCCACCCATGAAAACTTGGGTATGGACCGGAATTCCTTCCCCAGTATGGAGCACTTAGCAGCAACCAACAATTGTCCCCTTGGATGTTGGCCGCCAGAAATTAAGCAGCAGTAAAAATTAATGCTTTTCATATTAGGAACTAATTAAAGGTTGGTCTGGCTCTAGAACGAGATATGAAATCAAAGAAAGTGTAAAAAAAGCAGCGCTTTCAGAAGCTGGTGGGGGGGGGGGCAAAGAAAGGATGCCTGTTAGAGGAACTGCTTTGCCCTCCAGCTGCAGCCAAACTGGAGCCACTGCAATTGACTTTGCTATAAGATAATGATATTACTTCTCGAGCCATTAAAAACTATAAATCTAAAGTTGAAATGAGTCAACCTATTTAGTTCAAGATTAATTTCACTT